AGCAAGGAGCCCGATGTGGGACTCGATCCCAGGACCCTGAGATCATGACCTGAGCTGAAGACAGACGCTTAACAACTGAGCCACCCAGGCGCCCAAAGCATGCAACTCTTGAACTTGGGGTTGTGAGCTCAAGCCCCACGTTGGGTGGAGAGATTACTGAAAAATAAAATCTTTTAAAAAAAAAAAGGAAAGAAATTTCAGATTCTTTCATTGCCATTTGGGAATTTATTTCATCTTCCCTCAAACAGAAAGGTCACCATCTTCCAGACCAGACAACTTCTCACAGAAAAAGAGAGGAAATCTCCCTCACTTTCCTAACAATGTGGCTTCACGAGGGCAAGCAGGTATGCCTGACACACAGTGGATACTCACTCCCTGTTAAATGAAGGTTGTCACCATGAACAACCCAGGCTGCCCAGGCCTGCCAAACCTCTCAGAGAACACACCTGGCAAATCCATATAGCAGTCAGAATTCGGTATACATCTACATCATTATTATATCAGGGAATCTATCCTTTTTTGAAGCTATAGCCAATTTAGTACAAGAGAGGTAATATGAAGTGAGAACATTACTTTAACATTTACCAGTCCAACAGAATGTTCAACAAAGACATGCCTATCCCTCAGATGACATATGCCCTATCAGCCTGGGGTAGCACCCTCCTACCTGACACGATCGTTACAGGGCCTCTGATCTCTGTCAGCTTCTGCCTGGTGAAGTTCCGAATGAGGCACTGGATCAAAGTGCTCTTTCCAACTTTTGGAGGCCCCATCACCACCACCACTATTGGTGGGGGCTCTAATGGAGTTCGATCAACCACTGGAATGTGATGCTTTTTTGTCTTCAAATCTTGAGTCCTATTTGTAAAAAGAAAGAAAAATTAAATCCACTTTCAAAATATAAAAGGCATCATCCTTATAAGTAAAGATTTTAAAGAGAGCAGAACAGACAATATGGATACTATTAACTTGTTAACTTCTAGACCCAATCCAAATAACCACTTTAGTAAACATGTAACAGATTGACTTCAACAGTATAGAGTATTGAAAACTATACACACCTTAAATCTGATTGCTTTATTAGCTGACTGTACTAGTTTAAAAAAAAAAAGATAAACATGCAGGCAGTGTATCATAATGAATAACAGCAGGAGCTATGGAGTTAAATTTGGCTCTCCTATTAGAATTTAATTCAATAATGTTTAAAGTACAATGGCTGGCATATAATAAGAATGCATTAAATAAAGCTATTTATTACTACATATTATATGAAACATATCCAGAAAAAAACACAAGCACACTTATTACCATAGAAACTGTTTAAATTTTACAAATTCTTTCTTTCTTTCTAGAAGGCTCCAGGTGCAGTGTGGGGTCTAACATGGGGCTTGAACTCACATAAAGAGTTGGATGCTTAACCGACAGAGCCACCTCAGAGCCCCACAAACAAAGAAATTCTATAAAGAAAAACTCTTAAGCTTTTCTCTTGGGCAAAAAAAGCCAATCAGTGGGCAGATACTGGAGGCAAGACAGCTTCCACAGGAAAGACTACTTGCTCACATTTTATTTTTTTATTTTTTTATTTTTTTAATGTAGGGTCCATGCCCAGCATGGATCCAATGCAGGGCTTGAACTCACAACCCTGAGATCAAGACCTGAGCAGAGATCAAGAATTGGATGCTTAACCAACTGAGTCACCTAGGCTCACATTTTAGTAAAAGGAATATGGTATGCATCTTCATGTCCTTCAAAGCTGTTAAAGACTCATGAATCCAAACATCTGGGGAGACTCCTACTGTTTAAAAAGAATAAATGGAATAACAACTAGACTCCGGCTAAACATACCTATGAAAGGATCGAGCCATCCGCACAGCAGACTGGACTGCAAAAGCTTTGGGGTTTCTCTTCCGGGCATCTTCCTCATCTCCAAGTTGGAGATCCTGCAGATGCCGTTTCTTTTTCTTCTCAGCTTTGGGCCCACTGTTTTTCTTTCTGTGTTTCTTCTGGTCCTTAGTCTCCATAGTGGCTTTTTGCCAATTCACAGGTAACTCTAACCTACATTGATAAGGCAGGGATATGGGAAACATTTTACAATCCAGAAAACACCCAAGGAAAAACAGCAAATTTCATTTATTTCTTTATGAAGAGATAAGGTATTCCTGCAACAAGGATAGAAATTGCTTAATACTATTCCCCATTTCATTTCTCTATTATACTATAAATTAGATTTGCTAGTTCCTTCTGCTTATGTTACTTTTTATTCATCTTAAGTGTCTATATCAGCACTATTTCTGCAATAATGGAAATACTCTATACCTATACTTTTCAACACAGTGGCCACTTACCACATGTGGCTTCTGAGAACTTAAAATGGACCCAGTGAAACTGAGAAACTGAAATTGAATATAATTTTAATTAATTCCATTCTAAATTTAAATAGCCATATGTGACTAGTAGTTACCACACTGGACTGCTCAGCCCAAAATATCAGTTGCACTAATGAAGTGGTTTCCAAACTTAAACCATCTTTAAGACATTTTAACAAATTAAAGCATTTTAATAATCCTCCAACATGATAACATGTGTTACTTTTAGTACCTGTTGATTCTGTAAAACTTTTAAATTACAATAATCATTTATATGCATTTAAAAAAATAGTAACATCTAGATGTGTGAGATATGGTTGATTGTGGATGATGCCTGGAGACCACATGTATTTGCAGAAACCCTTACAAAGATTTCTGAGCGTCCTAGGAATTCATGGCCCATAAATTGAGAAACACTGAATTAGTGAGCTTTTTTAGGAAACTAGGCTGTATACAATCTGAGCACTTGGCTAATTAAAAAAAGAAAAAGAAACTAAGAAAAAAGGAAAAAAGGTCACTTCACTCAGTTAAGTTACTGAATTAATTTCAGTTCAATAAATGTTTGTGCCTGCCTATGATGTACTAGGCATTTTGCCAAGAGAGGACTACAGCTGTGATCCGACTAGCGAAGGAAATCCAAACTAGTATCTTTCATGCCATGCAGTAAAGGGCCACATGAGAAGGCTGCACTTAGGAGATCAGTCAGAGACTTCCCACGGACACACACCAGCGCCAACAGAAATCCACATATACCAGCATAATGTCAGGAAACACCAGCCAGGAGTTAGGAGAGCCGAGTTCTAGGGAACGCTTTGAAACTAAATAGCTATGTGATTTCAGGACGTTATTTTTCTTCTCTACTACATTTTGTTCCCAAACGTGTACTGACACTTTTCTCCCTCTCTTGGGGGGCGGGGAGAGGGATGGGAAAAGCACAACATGGAATCAACAGATGTGGCCCAGGTCTGAGCCACCTGCTAGGATTATCCCGCCAAGGAACGACCTCTCTCTTCTCCCTGCCACCTCCCCACCCGGTTCGGGCTCTCCGCACGAATTCATTCAGCCATCCCAAGGACCTCGGAGCAAGACTCCGGCACGCACTATGTGTGACCGGTCCAGCGCCTGAGGCGCTCTTCAGGGGCAAAGACTGTCCTGGCCGACTTTGCCAAGCACGACTCGCAAAACTCTCAGAGCCCCAGTCCCCGGGTGCCCACCACCGCCACCTCCCCTACCCCGCGGCCGTTACCGGGTTCACAACCGCTACTTCTCAGGCCCGCATGGACAGCGCCGGAAACGGAAATGCACCCTACGCGCGGACTCTATAGGCCGGCAGGAAACAAGGCTGCAGAAGAAAGAGACCGGCCAAAGGACGACTCGCGGGAAAGCCGGAAGGCAGGCTCCTGATTGGCTGAGGACGGGCGCAGGCGACAACTGCGCGGTGCGATCCAACCTGAGGCCGCGCGCCGCCCGGGCCCGGCGGGGACGGCGGCCGCACTGCCCACACGGCTTTGGGACTCCGAGCCGGTTCGTCGCGCACGTCTGAGTTCCCCCGGAGGCCGTGGCGACAGTGCGGCCTAGAGCCCGTTCCTTGGTGTGGGACGAAGGACGAAGTAACATATTTAGTCTCGGTCAACCGGAGTCGTGGCCCCCGTCGCCTCCGAATGCCACCGGCATCAGGTCCCTCCATGGCCTATTGGAATAGCCCACGGTTGGGAGTCTTGTCTGGCTCATCTGCCTGCTCATCCTTAAAGATGGCAGAGCTGGACATTCTCGGACTTCTTCAGTGCTGTAATTCCCTCTTTTGCCAGCACCGAGACTGAGGGCAGGGACAAACTCTGACTCAGCACGTTCTCTGGTCCTGGAAATGGGCCTTTCCGCGGAAGAACGCAGCCTCTTGCAGTTTCTTCCAGCACGGGTTTGCCCTCCCAGGGCCCTGCCCATTCCCACCGGAGGGACTTCTTGAAGTTCATCTAACCCCCATCTCAGGTGAGCTGGGATGTCCTCGTGGCTACAAAGCTGTGTACATTTTCGGAATTTGTGTCTCCCTCTTGCCTTGGAGGTTTTCTTTTCAGTGTGCTCTCACCAGTGCTCCTGAGACTCAGTTCTACCCCCACAAAACTAGGCTCACTCTAGTAATTGAAACCTCTATGCTTCATGCTTTTCACAGTGAGCTCATTCTCTCCCTCGGCATCCCACAGGTATTCACTCTGCAGTGCTAGGGCGGGCTGCTCTACAGGGCACCCACTTCTCTCATCTGTCAAGAGCGTGTAATTTAGTAACTCCCTCCAACAGTATCCCTCTCACTTCTTGGAGCTTTCAGTTTACAGGTAGATAATCCCAACATTCTCTTAGCTCCATGAGTCCCATTCTTGTCCTCTGTCTTACATCAGCCCCTCACTCTGCCTGTGATCAGACCCTAGACTTTGTCAGGTCCAAGGATTGCAGTCCCCAAAGCATCCCACACTGACTGCCACCTCGCATCTTGAGGTTTCTCCCTCTAATGCCCTGAAATCAACTGTAATCCAACCAGTACCTCTGACCCAGATCTTCCTCCCTTGATGAATTCTCCTTCCCTAGTAAGCTCGCTTAAACTCCATGGGCAATCATTATCATCAGTCTCTTGTATACTGACTGCCTCACCTCCCTGTCACCTCATCATATCTGCTCGGTAAAATAAGAGCCCTGGGTAGACCCTATTCTCCATCTACGGCATGCTACCACAAATGGCTGGAGGAAACCCTGGAACCAGGCTGACCACCCTCAGCTCAGTAATGCTAACTTTGCCTGGTCTATGCCATTCTTCCAAATGAGTATTTCACATCTTCTCTCTTCAGTCCTTCCCACCACCTCTCCCTTCCTTGCTTCTGACTTCACCAAAAAAATGGAAGTGAAGACTCCCACCATCACAGACTTTCACCACCACATCCACTCATGCTCCCCTCTGCTACCTGCCTGTTACTGTAGGTGAACTACCGGTATGTCCCCCTAAAGGAATCCTGCACTCAAGTGCAAGATCCCATCATCTCCAGGGTGTCACTCCCCCCAGTCTATTCTCTCCCCAACATCATCAGTTTTTACTGGACTATTCCCATCACTGTACAACATGCGGTTATTTCTCCCATCTTCAAAACAAACTCCTCTTGGCCCGTTTCCTATAACAGATACTACACCTTTTCTCCGTTCCTCTTTGTAGCAAAATTTCACAAAGGAATTGTCAATGTGTTCTCCAGTTCCTCTCCTCCTATTCTCTCTTAGATTCTCTTTGCTCCCAGCACACCACCCACAATCTTGGCTGCTCCTTCTCAGTAGCCTTTGCTAAAGGTTCTTCCACTCCTACCTGACATGTTCAAGTTCGACCCCCCACAGGACTCGGCCTTTGCTCTTCTCGTCTGTGTCTGTACTTCTTCCCTGGTGATTTCATTCTGTCTTGTAGTTTTATATGTCATCTGTATCCGTTAACAATTTATTGTATCTCTGCTACAAATTCATTCTTAATTGCCTACTCTAAAAATGTTTCCTTTGACACTGGCATATGTATTAAGTTTTGTAAGTAGGGGGCGATGGAGAGGCTTTGCAGGAGCAAGCAGTCTTTCTGCCTGGTTTTGCTTTGCTTCTTGGCCAGGCTCCTGCAGGTGGGTCATTTTTCCAGGGCCAGCGCCTCCAGTATGTGGTGCCCAGCAGCATCTGCTGGCCAGCACGCCCCACTCTTTCTTCCCCTACCCCCACCTCCTGGCACTTTTGTCATGGAGGGACTCTCCTGAGACACCTGCCTTTTTCCCCAGCACCCAGACAGGGATTGCCAGCAGGTTCCAGTGGTGCAGCACTGCAGAGGCCGCCCTGACACCAGTGGGCCATGGCCATACCCCTTCAGTGAGGTCTGGATCTCAGCTGATAGGGCTTGGAGTTGAGGAGGGGGACTCTTCCTGGGCCTTCTGTCCCTGTCCTAGGGTACTGGCCGCTCCTCAGATCTGCTATTCTTAATATTCTTTAGAGTTCTCTTCTTACTAGCCCATACCTCATTGCTCCAATTCCCTGTTGCAGTTAATAATGCTTAATGTAAACAAACTGAGTGTTGTTGGAGTGGGGGGTGGGGTGGGAGGGATGGGGTGACTGGGTGATAGACACTGGGGAGGGTACGTGCTCTGTTAAGCGCTGTGAATTGTGCAGGACTGTTGAATCTCAGATCTGTACCTCTGAGACAAATAATGCAA